CAATTAGCCCATAGCTAATTCTTATTGCATTGATTACATGAGCCAATTGGCCCAACGCTAAATGACTATAACCAATTCTTATTTATAATTGCCCAAAGAGGTAGATAATTTCTTTCTTGATTCAATTTATAGTTTTAAAAAAAGATGTGAGATAGTGTTTTTTTCTATGTGAAAGAAAACAAGTTAATTTATGGACCACGATAATAATTAGTATGTCTCTTTTTAGTAAACACATATAATTTAAAATTACGCTAAAGAAAGTTGAGTGTTTAAAGTTTTAATGTTCTTCATTGTTCAAAAACAACATTGCCATTTAATTAGCAAAGGTTAGTTTATGGTTGTAGTGTTTAACAAGTTACCCAAAATTATTAGTTCTAATTATGTTAAGTTAATTAAAAGTATCTTTCATAAAGACAAATAAGTCAGTTATATTTGAGCTTCAAAGCATGCTTTGTTTCTTTTTAGAAGGAATTGTTAAAATGTCTTAATTGTAACACATATTTGGCGGTATTATCTACTGATATCGATAGACAATAACATATATTATATATTATTAGACTTTATATGGTAATGATGATATCTCACAATATATATATATATATATATATATATTAGTAATGCCTATTGAGAAGTAATAAAATAATAGTAAATAGAGAGAGTTCAATGAGATTGAAAAACGTATACATATAGGAACATAGCCTAAAATCGCAATGCAAATACTAAATTTATTTTTTCAAAAGTGCATGATCCTTTCAAAAATAAAAAATATAGATAATTACAGGTGAAAACCGAATTACCGAATAAAAAAACTTATATATTTCAAAATCAAACCGAAAACTGAATAATAATTCGGTTCGGTTTTGGTTATTTTTTTAGACAATTTGGTTAATCAAAAATCGATCAAAAAGTTCAAAATCGAACCGAATTACCAAACGAACACCCTTAGTTAAACACTCCAACTAGCCTCTCTTTTGTCTCCATCAATTGACCTCTCTTACCATCAAAATTGGACACTTGGCATATTAAATATGAAAGAAATAATGATTTAAAAGATGTGATATAAAAAAAAATGGAAGGAAAGCTTAAGACTTTCCATCTTTTTTTGTCAAAAACGTATCTTGCAAAGAAGGGGGAGAGAGTGATGGTTTTGTGAGGGAAGAAAGAAAGGAGAAAAAGAAAGGAAAGAAAGGAAGGAGAAAGAGAAGAAAAAGGCTAAGAAATCTTAACCAAACACACATCATTGCAAGTAGGTTTCATTTAGCATTATTTATGCCTTAAAATTTAAATGTTCATGTTTATTTTATGATTTTGTTTAAGCTATGTAATATGTGGTTATAGTAGTTTGTGTTGATGTTAAAAATTTAATGTTTGGTGATGGATGTATGATGTTTTGATGAATGGATTTATTTTGGAGGTACCACATACTGAAAAATTTTTATTTTCGAAATTTGTGTGATTTATTTCGGGATCTTAGATTGGTTTTTGGGAAAAACTCAAAGAATGAAGGTTGTTTATCTATATGTCTACTAGCTCTCTATAAAATGTCGTGATTTTTAGATCTATATATAAAGATTTATTGCTGATTTGGTACGGTTCATTTGGATGTACCACATGCTGGAAACAATTTTAGTTCCAAACTTTGTGTGATTTATTTAGGAATCTTAGAATGATTTATGGGAAAAACTCAAAGAACAAACGTTGTTCATCTATGTATATACTATCTCTCCATATAATTTCATAATTTTTAGATATATATATAAGGAGGTATGGCTGATTTGGTATAGGTTATTTAGATGTACCACTTGCTGAAAAATGTTTAGGAAAGATATGAGTTTAGGTACTTAAACTTGATTAGTTAAGGTGTTTAGTTAGAATAAGTATTTAATTATACACCTAAGCCACCCTAATATAACCATATGGGTTTGAAAGATATGTATAAATGGGCTTGAACTTAAAATAAAGTTGACTTGAAATAAAACACATGGACTTGGACTAAAACAAAGTGGGCTTAGACTAAAATATAAAAAAGGGTTTGGATTACAATAAATGGACTTGAGTTAAAATAAAAATGAGCTTCGATTAAAATAAAATAGAATTGGATTAAAATAAATGGACTTAGGCTTGGATTAAAATAAATGAGCTTTGACAAAAACAAAATGAGTTTGGATGAAAATAAATGGACTTGGATATCCTAAGAACACTTAGTGGACCTTTGTACTAAAATGGTCAAGTTGGATCATACTATGAAAGTATTGATGAAGACCCAAGTGTGGATTGAATTTCTAAAATGGTATGGATATAAATAATTTGGTGCCCGTGAGATATGAAATATGATTCATGATATATGAAATGGATTAACCCCATTAGACGGGTCTTGAATTCCTTGTGTGAACTCAATGGTATAGAATCGACGGGTTTAGTACCTATGACTTGATGGAATGTGGTTCATGATACATTACGTGCATCATACGCATATGCGAAAACCATTGAGTAAAAAATGATCGAGTTTAGTAACCGAATCGAATGAAAATTGGATAGGTTTGGTAACTTACTAGATAAAAGGGGTATTAGTAGTTCGAGTTGTGTGTACTGCACTTGTTAGACAATGGAATTCCTCTAATAGTGACTACAACGAGGGATAATTCCTTTGTAGCAGAAGGTGAGCTGCGGTTCATCCGGATTAAATATAGAGTAGACTTGCTAATACCCAAGGTACCCGAAAATAAAATTTGATCGGTCGAAGTAGGAAAAGTCGAGAAAATCATTGCATATCACGTGCATCACCCTACTTATTGAGCTTCGGCTCACTCGTGTTTATTTCATGCCTTGATAGGTAAAGGTGATACTAATACCGATAATGAAGTTGCCGGTTCCTCCCAGAAAAAGGCTCGTGTGTGACGTAAAAAAAATTATAGGATCTACCTTTGTTTGTAAATTATATTTTATAATTTTTGTAATGATATTCGGTATATTGGGTATGTGTATGGGATTAAATTTGAGACTTCGGTATCTAAACTATGGTGCATCCAGATCACGCCTTTTAGGTTATCGGCAAGGGAGCCGGGGGCGCCACGGTTACATTCCTGAAATTCAATCCTATATTTTCACGGCTTTATCCTCACAGGAAGCATGGTCCAAACTTTCTATCATGTTTGCAAACAAATCTCGCTCTCGTATCTTGTCCACGAAAGAAAAGCTATATGACAATCCTCGTGGTACCCGAATTATAGTTGAATATGTACAAGAAACTAGAGCTACCGCTGATGCACTTACAACTACCGATAGTCCAATAGCGAGAAAAAGATCTCATCATGCATGTTTTGAAAAGGAGTTGGAGAAAAATTCTCTCACAATGTTGCGGCTATCCGTGTGAGAGATATAATAATATCATTTGATGAACTTTTTGATAAAGCTGGAGAAAAATGAAAGGAGACTCCAACAACACTCCAACATCGGTCTCAACCTCAAACTTACAATAAGAAACTACACCTCACGTCACCCTTTAAACAACTCGCCTAGAACACTAAATTCAATATTGGTTCCTCACGACTAGCTTGATAAAACAAAAATCGCAGCACCAATCTCTCCACCTCACACACCACATGGTAGTATGCACATTCAACTCCCCTACGAACTCTTTCCAAGTCGGTCTCCTTTTACGATTTTTATGAAGTTCCAAGACATATCACTAATGATAGCCAACAACTTACTAAGTTTTTAAGAACAAACAATGTATCCCTCGGCTCCAACCTTCAATCAACTTTTTCACCACCCACGACCAATGTGGTCTCTACTCGGTTCCACTACAACTTAGCCTTAGTTATTTGACTTTAGAGCATCTCATCATGTCACTAACGAGTGTACATCATCTATCCTCTTATTTAGATTATGGTGGTCCGGATGTGATCAACATTGATAATTATATAGGTTTAAAAATCTCCTCCATAAGCACCATCACTTTAAATCACAAAAATAACTCATTCCCACTAGATAATATCTTATGTGCCCCTTCTATTAAAAAAATTTAATCTATGTCACTTAATTTTATAAAACTAATCATGTCTCACTTGAATTTTTTTCTCGATATTTTCATATAAAGGATCTACGCACGGGGCGCCTCTACTTCATGGGGAGAACATCAATGATGTCTATTATCTCTTGCCCTCGACCAATCCACAAATACATCACACCACCATAACTTTATTAGCTACATGGCATCAATGCCTTGGTCATTCAATAGTGCCAATTATTCTCTCTGCTCTTAATGCCGACACAATAAACTTAGGTTCTTCATCATCATCTAAATTTAATTTTAATTTTAGTGCTTTAAATAAACGTCATCGTCTTTCTTTTTTAAAAAATTCTCTGTATAGCACTCAACCCCTTGAATTGGTTCCAACTCGAACTACTAATTGATGAGTACAAATTTTATCAATTTTTGTTAATCATTACAATAAATACATATGGCTACTATCCTATGAAGAAAAAAAATCGATGTCTCTGTCTTTTTTCCATAATTTAAAACGTTGATTGAAAAATTCCTTCGAAACTTTTGATCACCATCTACACGGATAATAGAGGTGAATATTTAGCTCTCAAATCCATTCTAAATGCTCATGGCATTTCTCACCTTTAAACACGTCCCTATACTCCTAAACAAAATGGCACCTCCGAAAGAAGACACAAACATATTGTTTAGATAGGTCTTACTTTGCTTCATAATGCCTAGCTACCATCGTCCCATTGTTCCTATGCATTTTAAGCGTCAATCTATTTAATCAATCGTCTTCCAACTTTGATCCTTCATCTCAAATCCTCATATTAGGTCTTTTTTAATCATACTCCAAACTATACTCGTCTAAAAATCTTTAGATGCCTATGTTATCCTTGACTTCGTCCTTACACGACTTCCAAAATTCAACCAAAGTCACCGAACTTGTATTTTCTAGGCTATTCCATATGTTAGTCAACTTGCGTATGTTATGAACCATTTGTAAAAGAATTCTATATATCGCGACATGTCCAATTTGTTGAACATATTTTTCCGGAGCAAGAAAGTAGCCATCGACATTTATCTTCCTTGCGAGCGAGAAAGTGCCTCCATCGTATCTCCCACGGTAAGTACTCCTTCCTAATTTTTTTCATTCTCCTACAACTAAAAAATTTGATTTTCAACGAGCCCATACCAACATCCAGCGAGCCCCTTCAAGACTTCACTTCCCTCTCTCCATCGAGCAACCTTGGTCAACTTGTTACGACCCACAATAACCACACTACTACAAATTATAATTCATCAACTAAAAACACGACCCACCCATCTCTATCGCACCAAACCCAATACCCTTATTCTCAACTCATCCCGGACTTTTTACATACACATCAACCCATGCTAAGCTTTCAATTACCACAAGCCCCTTCATAGCCCACACTTGCTTATTATTCTCAAAACATACCCAAACATAACTCACATATCCATCCCTCCGACTCGTCTTCCTCCCCATCTCTATCCACTCTCACTTGGTTCATTCACCCTATTAGAAATCACTACTTTATCTCCATCACATAATCCAACCCACCAAATCATCACCTCAAATCTCTTATTGTCTAAAAACCCAACCCTAAATAGTTCAATCCCCACTTCATCAATCATACCGCAAGACATGACTCATGCCCGCTATTCTTAAACCCAAGAATTACTCCACTATAATGGTCGATCCCAAATAGCATAAAGCCATGTCTAAAGAATTCAATGTTTTGATGAAAAATGAGACATAGGATTTAATACCTCTAAGCACATAGAATCTTATGGGTTACAAATGGGTCTTTTGAGTCAAGCGAAACTCGGATGGTACTATAACTAAATACAAAGCTAAACTAGTTACCAAAAGCTACCATCAATGCCCACGACTTGATTTTTTAGAAACCTCTAGCCCGAGTATCTAAAACCATAACAATCGGCTCCTCCTCGATCTACCACTTGGCAATGGGTAGAAATTAAGGCAATTAGATATGAACAATACATTTCTTCGAGGAACACTCTCTAAGATGTACACATGATTCAACCTCTAAGTTTTATCCATCCATCCTTGCCCAATCACATTTGCAAACTCAAGAAGGCCATTTATGGATTGAAATAGACATCAAGAGCCTAGTATAAAGAATTGAAAGCCTTTCATTAAAATCGGGGTACAAGAACTCGGTAGCGAGATACCTCACTTTTTATATATAACAATACTGGTATTTATGTATATTCTCCGGTATATGTGAATGATATAGTATTGACAAGAACAATGATAGCTACTTGGAGTCCTTTGTTCGGTGCTTAGCAGACTTAGTTCTCCCTCGAAAGGTCCTAGAATACTGCATCAATTTTTAGGGGTTGAGGTTATTCATACTACTAATGGTATATTCTTATCTCGGTATTGTCAAATAGGCGATATACTTGGATAAGTTTTCAATGAATGATACTAAGGAGGTCACCACACCGATGTGCCATTCCACACCATTATTGTTATAGGATGGCTCATTTTTAATTGATCCAACTCAATATAAAAAAACTAGTTGGTAGCCTATAATACCTATCTCTCACATGTTCTTATGTGTCCTTTATAGTGAATCGTCTATCTCGGTATATGCATTCTCTATCGAGCTTCACTGGACTACCTTAAAAAGGGTTCTTCGATATTTAAAGAGGATAATTACTCATGGTCTATTTTTGCATAAAAATACTTCATTTCAAATCGGTGGTTTTAGTGATTTTGATCGGGGTGTAAATAGAGATGATGATAGGTCAACTACAACATACATTATCTACTTGGGTTCAAATGTTATCTCTTGAAAATCAAGTCATTTGAAATCGGTATCACAATCCTCATTTGAAATAGAGTACAAAGCAATGGCGAGATACTACCGTTGACATTCTCCGGATTCAGAATCTCATGTTGGAATTGGGCATTACACTCACCCAAGCACTAATAATTTTCTATAACAATACTAGGGCCACTTATCTCTACGTCGATCCCGTATTTCACTCCCACATGAAACATATCTCTCTAGACTAACACTTTATATGGGAATATGCAGCAAAAGACACCCTCGAAGTCCTTCATATCTCTATCAAAGATCGAACTACGGACATTCTTAAAAAGCCTCTCGACAAACGGTAATACTATGCACTACGATCCAAGATTGAAATCACTAACGGTGCCTCCATCTTGCGAAGGCATATTATGGATAAACATGAATTACAAAACTCAAATAGTAGTTAACTACAATTCAAATTCAAATATAGTTTAAATTTAAATAGGCATTACGGTAGAATTTAAACTCTATCATTGTACAATCTTAACACTATATATACTATTCTTGAATATAATAAAATAATTAAACTTCAACACAATTAGGTGGTGTTTGATAAAACTAAAAATTAAGTATCGAATACGTTAAATACTGAATTTTAAGTGCTAAATAATTAAGTATCGATGATGTTCCTAACAAACTGTTTGGTATTTACTAAATATTAAATGTTGAATATAATAAGCTTATTTTATAATTACTATTCGTTGAATATATTAAGGCTAGTTACATGATAATTTTAACCTTGTAATTGTAACATAGTATTTTAATAAAAAATAAATAAAAATTCAATAAAAATGATTAGCTTTTGGGTTAACAATAAGAACAAAACAATTACAAATCAAACCAAATGAAAACGTCATCATTGGAATAGGTAAATAATATCCCTCCAGGATCACTTCGAAGAAGACAACGCTAGAATTAAAAATCGAAATCGAATTGCCACTCTACCAACGAAATAGCGGGATCGTACGTGTGTTAGCGCCTAAATGACGAGAAAGAGCTTGCAAAATCAAAAATAGTGATATCAAAAGATCTTAGTGTCTCGGCTCACACGTAGTTGGGTTTTCTATCATGCTTCCTATATCATGTCAATTTATCTCGTTTGGTTTAGGAATTTGAGAAATGCATTGGGAAATGAAATGGGGAAATTGGGGGTTCGGGTTAATTTTTTTAGGAAGGACTTAATTTTTTTAGGAAGGACCAGGTTGTTTGTTACTAAAGAAGGGGCATATAAGTGTTTTTTTTTTAATTGGCTATGTTAGTTGAGAAATTATGGGTATCTTTTGTTGTTTCATTTGGTGATCTAGGTCCGTATTTATTTGGCCTATAAAGGGCGATGTATGTGAGATTATATGTCACATGGCTCAACTACATCGTATCTAGAATGTGTTAAAAATATTGATGATAATGGAATTAGAAAGACACAAAGGAATATAAATCATATGGCTCAACTACATCGTATCTAGAATGTGTTAAAAATATTGATGATAATAGAATTAGAAAGACACAAAGGAATATAAATCAAAACCCGAAACTAAAACAGACTTAATCCATAAAAAGAATCGAGTCTTTCTCTATAAAAAATGTACAAAAAAATGATCAAGATATCAATACATATGAAGGAAAATCACTTGTAATGGAATGGAAGGAAAATTATTTGTAATGGGATTAGACTTTGGCATTTCGGATATGGAGAAGGTTTCCTTTGTTTTAGCAATGAGGATAGTAGAAATTATTTTTCGGTTGGTTTGTATAGCTAAAGTTATAAGAATATATAAGGGCAATATAGTCATCTTTGAAAAGTTTTAAAAATATTTTAACTAAGCGTATTAATCAAAATTTAATAAGTTAAAAACTTTAACTTAACTAATTAAGTAGATTTTGACTAAACTTAAATTTTTAATATGAGATTATTAAGGTTATCAAACAAACTTTTTATATTAAATATTATAATTTAATTTTTTAAGCTACTTAAATAGATTATCAAACACTCATTTAATCTCTTTAGGTGGTTGGTACTTCGATCCACCAAAGTCGTCAACAAACTATGGCCATAATCTTCCATGCACATCTCTTTGTATTCGCTTGGTCTCTTTCCCTCGTACTCGATTCAATTTGCTTCACATCTCTCTCTCTCTCTCTCTCTCTCTCTCTCTCTCTCTCTCTCTCTCTCTCTCTCTCTCTCTCTCTATATATATATATATATATATATATATATCCCTTTGTGTCGTTCCAAACATTATTATTCAACTTTATGCTAATACATAGTTTTGAGTTTTCAAGAATGTTTGAGATTTTGGGAAAAGAGTTTCGGGATGGTTAAGAAATATCGATTAATTATTGCATAAACCTAACTAATTATTGTAAATCTAGACATAAGTCTCTTATTTATGAAAGAAAACCATCAAATTACAAGCCAGTTGTCAAATGTCAATCAACATTACTATTTCATGTATACCCGTCAGTCTACGCAAAAGATAAAATCTCAAATTTGATGGATTCTGCAATTGGTTAAGTTTAAGGATTCGATCAATGTTTACGGACCTACAAGTAGCATAGCGAAAGGTATCAAATCGTGCCAAGCATGCAAATTCCAGATTACAAATGCAATATGCATACCGAAAGTCCTAATCAATTAACGTAGTGAAAGATTCCAACTGATCTTGATCGTTGAATGTGACATTGGATCCTACAAACGACTTCTACAATCAATCATGAAGTGCAAAATTAATAGCAATCTCGACGTCATGTAGGCATTCCAAATGCTAGCTTTTTTTGTTATATACAGAAAATATTAAAGGTACAAAATAGAGTTTTTATTTTTTCAAAATAATTTAATCAATAAACCAAGAAATCAAACAAAACATTCTGTATGATAATTAGGTTCGATAAGCAAATCTATAACTGAATCAAATCACATATTTTATATATGTAAACAGTGGTGTCTTTGATTTTTCTAAGTTAAAGACATGTTATTGTTATCTGAATAAGTAATTCTCGAATCAGTTTTTGGACAAATTTTCAGAACTACTATAAACACGTAGTGTATTATCTGAGAAAGGCCAAAAACCAAAATTCTTGCTTAAGAAGAAATTTTGAGTCTTGAAGCGGCAAAAATAGCCGCAATCGCCCAAGAAAGCAAACAATCCCAAACGCCACGTTATCCAAAATTCTCCAGAAACAACACGTAATATCGTTGAGCCCCAAACCATGATATTTAGATTCTAGCTAGTAGCTAGTTACTAGTTAGTACCACCTGCCTCATTTACTCTTTCCAAATAAAGCACTCCCGCCAAAAACCAACAGCTAGCTTTAATGGATTGGTGCCATGTGCGCCCGTCCTCAATCTCAACCGTCCACGTTCTTTTTAGGAAAATCCAACTTGTTCAAGTTCCATCTTCTCTAGACAGTACAGATGTCACTTATCAGTCGGACCCTCCTGTCCTTTTTAATCAAACTAAATGCTAAATCCTTTCCTTTGCGTCTGTCAGAGGAAAAAAATAAAATCAAGAGAAAGTGAAAGAAAATTTAGAAAGGTTGTGCTAATTATGAGTGGGATTCTGTTAAAATGATGGCAGATTCTACTAGTTCTAGCGAAGTTGGCAAAAAAATCCGCGTCAAGAAATCAAGAAACTGTCGTAGGAGAAGCTTGGACGCGAAACAAATGATCGCTTCAGCTGCTACATGTTCAATGAATATTACTTCCAATTTTCTTGATGAAGGAAAAACTAAGAAGATCATAGGCATAAAAGAAGTTACCTCTTGTGAAGCAACAAAACCTGCGGTATCAGTTAAAGAATGCAACATTGATGATCATGATCTTCAAGATTATAAGCAGCTGAATTCAGAGAAGTCTTCGTTCCCGCCATCAATATCTTCTTATAAAGAAAAGCAAGTGCTGCAACCACTTGGAACCGTAGAGGCAGGCAGCTATGGAGATCAGGAAGATGAAGACAAGAGTCCAATGAGCAAATCACACGGGATGATTTCTGTGATCGGACGGCGGAGAGTGATGGAGGATGCGGTTACAATGGTCCCTGGAATAGCTGTTGGTGAATTTGGTAGTTATGACCTTTTTGCGGTTTATGATGGGCACGGTGGAGCTAGGGTGGCCAACGCGTGTAGAGATAGGATGCACCAGCTGGTGGCGAAGGAGGTGAAGAAAGGGGAGAGGATTGGCGGTGGCAAGGGATTGGAGTACTGGGAGAAGTTGATGGTGGCATGTTTTGAAAAGATGGACGAGGAGCTGATGATCAATGATGGGGGTGGAGGTGGAGAGGGGGAGATGGGGAAGGAAGCGACGTCAATAAAAAACATGGGTTCGACAGCCGTGGTTGTGATGGTGGGAAAGGAGGAGGTGGTGGTGGCTAATTGTGGGGATTCAAGAGCGGTTTTGTGTCGCGGTGGCGTGGCTGTGCCTTTGTCTCATGATCACAAGGTAACTGTTATTGCCATCATATGAAAAATTTTAATCAGACTAACTCCATGTAAGAGAATTCAAAAGGAACAGGAGTGTTCGTTTAGTGATTCGGTTCGATTTTAAATTTTTTTGATCGATTTTTGATTAATCGAATTATCTAAAAAATAACCGAAATCGAACCGAATTATTATTCGGTTTTCGATTCGATTTTGAAATATATCAGTTTTTTTATTCGGTAATTCGATTTTTACTTATAATTATCTATATTTTTTATTTTTAAAAGGATATGCACTTTCAAAAAAATAAATTTAGTATTTGCATTGTGATTTTAGGCTACTTATATGTATATATTTTTCAATCTCATTGAACTATGTCTATTTACTATTATTTTACTACTCCTCAATAGACATTACTAATATAATATCAATTGATATATATATATATATATATATCATCATTATCATATAAAGTCTAATAATATATAATATATGTTATTGTCTATCGATATCGGTAGATAATACCGTCAAATATGTGTCACAATTAAGACATTTTTAACAATTCTTTCTAAAAAGAAACGAGCATGTTTTGAAGCTCAAATATAACCGACTTATTTATCTTTATGAAAGATATTTTTAATTAATTCGACGTAATTAGAACTAATAATTTTGGATAACTTGTTAAACACTATAGCCATAAGCTAATCTTAGGTAATTAAATGGCAATGTTATTTTTGAACAATGAAGAGCATTAAAACTTTAAACACTCAACTTTCTTTAGCGTAATTTTAAATTATATGTATTTACTAAAAAGAGACATACTAATCATTATCGGGGTTCATAAATTAACTAGTTTTCTTTCACATAAAAAAAAAACACTATCTCACATCTTTTTTAAAAACTATAAATTGGATCAAGAAAGAAATTATGTACCTCGTTGTTCAATTATAAACAAGAATTGGTTATGGTCATTTGGCTTTGGTCTAATTGGCTCATGTAATCAATGCAACAAGAATTGATTATAGGCTAATTGATTTAACTCCAATTAGCTTAGGTTTGCATGAGGGTAAGGTAAAGGTGTGAGGATTGGAATGAACGACGTCGTTTATTGATGAATTTAAAAAAAAATTAATAATTTTGGTTATTTGGTTTTAATCGAATTTAAAAAAAAAAAAAAAAAAAAAAAAACCGAAAGCCAGCTATATTTCAGTTTGGTTTTTTTTTAATTTTTTTTAAAAAAATCGTATTGAAATTGATATTTCGATGTGGTTCGGTTCGGTTATTCGGTTTTCACCGAATAGTGAACACCCGTAAAAGGGAGAGTGTAAAGTTTGAGCTTGAATTAATACACAATTTCATATTGAAATCTTATCATGTTTCTTTTTAGATATTCATTACATCTGAATTTAAACTAAATAGTTTTGATTTAATATATGATAAAAATGAAAATAAATTTTAATATTTTATTTTTTTCATCTATCCAAATTATTAAAATTCAAATTAATAATATGATTTGAAAGTCGGTGTTCTCTATTAGAGGAACCAAATCTATAAATATAAATTCGTATCATTACATTTATAAATTTAAATTCTAAATAGATGTTAGCTAAGAATTAGTGTCTAATCATAAATTAGGTATTGTTGACTGTAGATGCAGATTATATATTATACATGGTAAAATCTTACATTTCACCAAATGCCTTGAGAGAAATCACGATCATATGGGTCTGGCCTATCACATTACAAAATCTTCAATACCTCAACTAGTATAATATATATATATATATATATATACACATATTCCAACAACGTACGGGTTGATAAAACGTGAAATGAGTTTGTTATATAATACTTATTCATGAAATTGAGTGTGTGAATTTTAAGCATAACTAGGTCATTGTATATACAAGATAATAGCTGCATAAAGTTTCCTGTCAAAGAGTGATACATAGTCTATATATCTGTCCATTTAAAAATAATAATAATAAAATTAGTCATAATATCAAGGCCTACTACGTTAAATTAATCAATTTTGATCTATATGAATCTGATTTGGTGACAATTTTCTATTTCTATTGAAGTCGTGAATACTCTAATTGCCATCGCATATTCTGTGATTAATGACGTTTTTAGTAAGTAGGTAAGACTAGAAGGCAAATTACAGAAAAATGTTTGGTGCATTACTTTTGTCTACCTTATAAAATTTGTAATATAGTCTTTTATCTTTTAGATGAAGTTGCCGTCACCTCTTAGCTGTTTTACAAATGAAGGAAATTATGTTTCTGAAGATTCTGATTCAAATTTGGTCCAGGGTTGGATTTTGCTACCTATATGATATAGGAGCTTCGATTCCACTGTTACTCTTATGAGTCCCTTGAACATCATGGCAGCAACTGGGGGGTCATGTGTGCATTGAAAAAACAAGGTTGAAGGTTTGGTTTGTGGCTGCTGGCTTAAAAATATTCGACTCTTTTTTTTTGTGTTGGGGGGGTCAAAACAATTGAAGTTGTTATATGCGTTTTTATTGCTTTTTAATTTGGTGAATATGTAACATTGTTGGCTTTGTTGTTGCATTTGTCTTCTCATTTAAACGAAATAGTAATATATATGCGAAGTCCATACAATTTTAAGCTCGCATCCGTAGGTGGCAGTCTCATGGAGAATTAATTCGTGGGACTAAGCTTACGAGAATGTGTTGGTAGCCCCAGAATGCGGAGTAAATTATGCTACAATTTGGCAACTCTGTACTACAAGTGGAAATATGATCTTGATTGCTTGATTTTACATGAGGCCTTGAATCCCTTGCGCAGCCTGACAGGCCTGATGAACGAGAGAGAGTGGAAGCAGCAGGTGGACGAGTAATAAACTGGAACGGTAGCCGTGTACTAGGAGTCCTTGCCACGTCAAGATCAATAGGTATGTTGGAATCCTTGTATTACAGTACGCATTACCCTATACGTTAATTTGTAGGATAGGAGCACGGTTTGAAGTATTTTATGGTGGAGATCCAATGTGTGGCATATTGGTCCATTCTGCAACACTCTTGGTTAACAGCTACATGGCTTATTCCATTATTTTCAGTAAATGATTGTTGGATGATGTTGTAATTCTCCGGGAGAAAAAAAAACAAGCAATTAAAAGGAATTTTTTTTTTTTTTTTTTTAAATTCAGGAGATCACTATTTGAAGCCATTTGTAATCTCCGAACCCGAGGTTGCTGTTAGTGAGCGAACGGATTCAGACGATTTCATTGTGATAGCAACGGATGGCTTATGGGATGTCGTTACAAATGAAACTGCCTGCGAGGTTGTCAGAAAGCTCTTTTATGGCCAAATAAAAAGGAGGCTTCCTGATGAATTTAATGGGAGTTGTTCTGCAGAGGCGGCGGCAATGCTTGCCGAATTGGCAATGGCTCGGGGTAGCAGAGACAATATTAGTGTCATAGTAGTTCAGCTGAAAAAAGCTGTTAGCAAGGTTTGCTGATCGTTTTTAGTTAAGCCATTTTCTTTTTGTTTTTCAGAGTTTTACTGTTTAGAGTATTTGGCGGAATGAAATGTCTTCTGAAAATGTTTGATTTCGTCGCCTCTCTCCATCTAAGAGTTTCTCTAACAGTCTTTTAACTTCAAATTTTGTATTTTTGGATCAATACTTCTTGAAGTATTTGCTTTAACATCTTCCGAAATAGCACCTTTTCTAAATCAACGGTTTTGTTGGGCTGTTCTGTTTTCTTTTGGTCTCCTTGCATTCCCTCACCATTGTTGAATTTGAATTAGGTGTGTATTGAGTCTTGATGTCGGGTGTTCTGTCGATGCCTTGTTACAAAAGGAAATTGCGTCACAAGTGTAGGGTTAGATTGTCCTTGTAAGATCTCAAATCAAACAATCCACTTGAAGGGTCATCAAATCAGGTACTGAAACTAAATTTGTTGCGTGATCTTCATCTAATGCCAAGTGATGCGACCACGAAACCTCGTGCTATGCTAATCAGGGTAATGCCTGGTTGCTTTGGCACATGATCAGGTCCAAAATCAATTATACAATTAGATAGTTTTGCAAGCCCAAAGGCATATGAATAAGTGTATAGATTATTTTATCTCCATGTAGTGAATAGTTTTTGAATTAGAAAAAGGCAAGGGAATTTCAATGTCAAACCAGAAAATTATATTGATATGAGAAATTTAAATGTTGCAAAGCTTACATCACAATCCGAAAAATAATATTAAAAATGACATTCAAAGCTGCTTGAAGTGCAAGGAAAGAAAGCACCTTTTGCAAATTATTGAGAAGTCACCTTTTTGACTTCCCAATTCTCACTCTGTAATTGTCTCTCAAACCTATCTATATAACTAATGAGGTGGAGGAGAAAGAGGATGAGCACTCCTTTATAATTTGTCTCTTCACTCCTTTCCTCCTCCAATCTTCGACCTTATTTAACCTAATATGACTAAAACCCTAAACAGATACCGAATCAACATGCTGAAAATCCCCCCCCAAAAAAAAAAAAAAAGACCTTTTTCTGGACTGCATATTTTGTATAACTGCACAATTCTTACATTACAAACCCAGAAACTATGAATCTCTCTCTTTCAACAATTGAATTCCTTCCATTTTCAGGCCAAAGTGTAGCTTGAAACAGAGACGTCTGCAGCAGAAGCAGAATGAATGTAGACAAACTCGAGACTTTTTCCAGCAGGCAAAGAGCCAATCCATGATGGAAAAGCATAAGAATTTCCTGATTTTGTCAGACCCCACAGAGGACCATAAAGCTTAGATATTGAAAGTTTGATATCCTTTAGTTCCTTAGCAGATTTGTTGGTCACAATAGTAGAATATCTGTAGTAAGTTTTTCCGCTGGCAAGCCATGTTGTTGTCATCTTTTGTGCTATGGAAATAGGAGCAGAAGTTGAAGCTGCAAAACAAAATCAATAGTTAAGAGCTTTGTAACACTATAACCAAAGGACACATTCAGTTATCCCTTAACCGATGAGGTGATTATGTTCCACACAGATACCACTAACAGTTAGACCCAAGAGGGATATTTCTTTTCTATACAAGCATGACTGTTGGAGAGCAAAACATACCTGGTGCTGGAGTTACTTTTGGATGTGGGGCTGGTATCTTTTTAAGAGGAGCTGGAACCACCACTGTAAGATAAGCTAGCAATAATTATTACATTGAGTGACTACATTTACAAGAAAATGAAATCAATGGCCATATACCATATGTGTATATACCTGGAAGGAGCTGGTTATACCCTCCGTGACCACCACCTAGCCGAGCCAATAAACCAAGAATAGGAGCATTGTTGTAGGTAGCAGGTTCTGTTTGCTCATAATTGTCTCTTTCATCAGCGAAGTTGTCATAGGCATCAGGGCCACCAACAATGGCACCGGTGAGGAGATTAGGATCGTTTCCTTTCTTGCTAAACCAAGTAGCATAACCTCCACGGCAGCTAACAAATGTAGGGTCAACCTTAAAGGAAACAATTGATGAAGCTCTGTGGTGAACTTGTCGTGGATAGTTGCTTCCATAACCAACCATGTAGCTTGTAGCTCTTGGGTTGTCTCCAAGAATGTAATCCACCTGCAAGATATGAAAAGCATCCTCATAAGTACAGCTTCAAATGCAAACTTCCAATTGCTCCTTTAACAAAAAAACAGATTCAATAATTTACTAAATTTTCAGTGATTAGATTACCTGAGATTTCGCGAAAGCAAGAAGCTGGGATGGTGCCACATTGCCAGCAGCACAATTCAAGTTTCTACCAGCAGAAGCAAGATAGTCAGAGTAGACGGTAGCCAAGAATGAAGCACTGGTCACAAACTGCATGTTGTTCCACCTCTGGCGGAAAATTAGACCCCCAGGAGTTTTCTGAACATTGCGAGTACCCTTTCCAAGGCATGAACACATGAAGTACTCAGCCTTCTGTTGGTACTTCTCAAACACTGGTGCATGGTTGCCAGCTTTGCCTTGCATCAAGAACTGAAGCACAATAAAATATGCCAATCAGATAGGTAACAATAAATTTTATTGAAACTTGTTAACGGGTCATCAGAACTGAAGTCAGCTTAGGAGACATTTACCTTGGCAACAAGAGTTTGGACCCCAGCATACTTGACATCCCAACCAAATTCAGTCATGCCCCATCCAGTTCCTCCCATTGAATCACCATTGTTTCCAAGATAGTTCAAGTAATACTGATTGTTGCTTGCTTGGTACAACCATGCGGCTGCCCATAGCAACTCATCCTGTAAATACCAAAATTAAAAATTAAATAAAATCAAATTCATTTTTTAAGGGGGGGGGAAGTAGAGTGACTGGTTTTACTTACATTGTAGCCACTAACAGAGCGGTAATATTTTTGGGCCACAGAAATGCTGCTGTCATATTTACCCCTGTACTTGTCTGCAAAATCAAATAGCTGAAAACCAGAAAAACAAACGCAGAAAAGAAAAAAAATCAGTGATAGTCCATGTAATTTTAATAAAGAATGAAGGGTAGTTAGGGAATTGAAAATGGTTATTTAAATTGCTAGTATAAGAGTGGGACGAAGCATGATGTGTGAGGTTGCAGGTTCGGGAAAAGGAAACCACCGACAAAGTAATCACGTGACCAAAGGACATAACTAACTCCGCTTTTAATGGATCGAACACGTGGACGGTTTAGATCTACGAGTACAATAAATTTGTACGGTATGAAGACTGTGCCCGTGATAGATGGGCAAATATGACCCAACGATCCTAATTGTGCGCCAATAGATCTTATTAGCATTTATTTAATTGAAGAGTATATAATATATTACTAAGAAAATATGAAATTGAAATTATGGTATTTTTGGACCGGCTTTGAAGGCCGATTCACTTTCTCATTTTAACTAAAGAAAAAAGTTTTTTAAAAAAAAACTACATTTGTGTTATCTCTTAGTATTTTTTTTCCTAGTCGTTTTTTAAAGTCTTTAGTTTTTTTTTTTTAAGAAAAAAAAATTAAGGGTGCAAGCATTATTAGACGATTAGAGATGAACCGACGGTTTGAGTAATTTTTCTATTGCTCTGGCCCTTCCTTCAAGCCATCTCTTTCATTAAGGGACCCCCTTTTTTGTTTTTTTTTTCCTTTTATAAAGTTCTTTAGAGCAAACTCTTTGTTTAATTGGGGTTAAAAAAAATTTTAAGTTACTTTCCACCAAAGAGTAATGAAAGAATATCCTTAGCCTAACCTATGTACTTGCATATCATTAAAAATCCACCTCAGTTTTGAGTGGTTAGGCGATATGAGTTCAAATTTAAAACTTCTCTTTAAACAAACTTTCAAAGATCCACCCAAACAGCTACCTTTGACTCTCCTACCTAAATGAGTTGTTACCAAATTTTTCCTTTGAATGAAATTGTAAATTTTGTTAATATGGCGAAGCTATAGTAAACAGTAACTCCTTAATTATTGTGATAATAAATGCACACACTAAGTTGCGCTGCAAAGGTTTAACGACCAGTCTGACAAAAAGCGACGGAAAGTAACCGCCTATATTTATTACGTTGTAATAAAAATTACTGCTAACATACGCATCCAAAACCGTTTTGCTAAAATATACGAGCCACAAAAAAACCTTTACCTGATATGCATGAGTGAGGAGCTCATTGGCATAGGCAGGGTTAGAGTGGCGGAAAACGATGGAAGCGGCGGCCATTGCAGCGGCTGTTTCACCAGCAAGATCAGACCCAGGATTACTTGGGTCAATCTTGTAAGCCCTACGGTCAGTGGTCATGTCCTCTGGTCTTTGCCAACAGTAGTGGTCAGTGTTGCCATCACCAACCTAATCAAAAAAACAACAAAAATCGTTACATAAATAATATTAAATTATTAGTGATGCCAATTATTTAATTTGTGTTTTCGTTAACGTATTATGGTCTAATGAGGTATCCATTTCCGTTAAAGCAAAGATATAATTTTGTTGAAAAGGACAAAATGAAAAAGGCAAGCCCATAGAGAATTTGGAAAATTAATTAAATAATGAAAAAACGAAATTCTTTCACAAAATTATGTGGTTATTATGCTATTAAAATGGTTTCATTTGAATGACAGTACTCTCCAAAATGGATCTAGCTAAGATTGCAAACGAAGCTAATTTAATCAAATTTGAGATCCAAATTTTCTACAAGGAAATTTCTTGGTTTCCAGCAGAACAACTTGTAAAGCATATTTTTCTCGTATACAAGTTGACCTAGAGCCTAGAAAAAGAGAGATGCCAAGAGAATAGTAATAGAAAAAAAATTGGGAAAGTGGAAATAGAGTGAAAGCTACCTCTCCATAAAGAACATCGGGTTTAGGGTGAGCTTTAATAAGGTAGTCAGTTCCCCACTTAACAGCATCGATGGCATGACCAAGTTCGCCACTTGAACCCAATTGCTTCCCGTATTCAATTATGCTCCAGGACATCATTGTAATTGTGAATGCCATTGGCAAACCAAATTTCACATTGTCCCCTGCATCATAGTACCCTCCTACCAGATCCACCTGGAATTACAGAAACGCTATTTCAAACCACCAAACAAGTTGCAGTTTACATTTTCAAGGTAACAAATAAACTCCATTTAGCCAATGTAAACCATTAAAGAAGAAGAAGAAGAAGAAGAAGAAGAAGCATAAACATAAAACCAGTAGGATTTTAAGCTTACCCCACTAGCCTTGCCATCATTCAAACCAGAATTAGCTCTCCAAGTGACTCTCTGGTTATGGGGAAGGAAACCAGATCTTTGAGCTTCAAAGAAGAGAAGACTATTACTCAAAGCTTGATTATAGTCATGGCCAGCAAGAGCAAAAGGCAAACAAAGAAGCGCAAACAAAGGAGTCATAGAAATGAGCCTAGCAAACTTCTCCATATTAACAGTTTGGTCAATGTATAAATAAAAACTCAAGGACAAACAGATCTCTTTTAGCAATAGTTACACAATGGGGATCTTTTCTTGCCACTAATAGAAAAAAAATGGCAATGGCAATGGCAATGTTGAGAGTGATTTATCAGTTAAAACTTCTGATAAACCAACAAGACTCTAAAAAAGTAGAGAGTAGACAAGGGGAGATAGAGAGGAGGGAGTGGGAGGATATGAAGGTGCTAAAGCATGTATATATTGAGGAGGGAAAGGAAGGTACCATGAGCCTAAAAATTGGCAGGGATCAATTAATGAAATTTATTTTATTATTTGTTTGGTTTTATTTTAAAAATTATTTTCTCTTTTGGAAAGACACAAAAACAGTTGAGAAAAGAACAAAGTCATGTGGGTGTTCTTTGGGTCTTCACTGGAAGGGTCGGTGGGGATTTAATGTGGTTTTGGGATTAGATGTTACTATTGCCCATGAAGGCTTCAAAGGTGAGGAGAGACAGACAAAAAAGAAGGGGTTTTCTGGGAGGTGATATTGGCACTTTATAAGTTAACCATTCTCCCAATTTTGTCCATGTTTTTATAAATTAACTATTTTATTTTTAAAATTTTTTTCATTTTTTGTACTTTTAAAAATACTCATTTTAGCTATAATCACATAGCTTGCAGTCCGCTTTTTTCAAAAAAAAAATTGCTTTATACCTTGATCATTATGGTGTAGATAAAATTCATAATTCTTACTCGCTGAAAATAGATGGCAAATGGAACCTTAATTTTTCATGTTATATATATATATATATGTGTGTGTGTTACTTGAAATAAAAATGTATTAGTTGACCCTATAATTTTTAACTTTTTATGAAAAAAGTCATGTCCCTTAACAAGTATTTCTAACCTCACTATGAATAATAAATTAATAATGTCACAAAAAAATGAAATAGCTAGCAATTTTAAATTGTTTCTTCCTAAATAACCACTAAAAACTAACAACCTAGATTTATAATAATAATAATAATAATAAGAGAAAATAAAAACTCTAATCAAAATGTCAAAAATTAACAATTAAGCTCTCATGTTATGATTGTTTCTATAAATAAATTTCTAAATATAGCCATCTTTCTGGAGAAGGCTAGACAAAATAAATATTAAGCATAAAACAAGTCAATAATTCTTCACAATAGAAAATCTGCACAAAGTAAAAGTCATAAAAGAATTACGAATGAAGTAACTAAAAGAAATTCATTAGAAAAAAAGTATTTGTATAAAATTACCTACAATATTCCAAGCATCCTAAACCAAAAAAAAAAAAGTTTTTTCTACGAAATTAACAATTGTTAGCATAAATACGAAGCTAGTTGTGGAACATAGCTAAAATTATAACCATGAACATTAAAAATTATATTTAAAAAAATGGTCTATAACTTTCAAATGAGTGTAACAAAATTATGAGGCGATAGCTAAAATTTAGGAAGTGAATGGTATGAAATTTGCAAAATTAAGAAATTTCGTGAAAAAAAAAATCAATACTGAAAGCCTAATAATCAATAGCAAATTTAGAACAAAATGAAAAATAACAAATGAATGATGTATATTATCCACGGCAAAACAAAAGGTAGAAGTGCATATACGTGATAATATAAATATGAAAATAAATGAAAATCACGAATAAAAAAATCATAAATGTCTTACCATTAAGAGAAGTTTGTGAATTAAACTTGAAAAAAAAGACATTTTTCCATGTCCAATTCTCTTGTGGATGCAGTAGAAATTTCTTTCATGGTATAATTTTTTTCAGCAAATTGTGTTTCTTCATCTGTCAATGATTGTGAGACCGTCAAGATGCGAAGAGAAAAGAAAAGAAATTGTTTTGTATTGTGAAGGATAAAATAGTCAGTCTACAAAAAAGTAAGAGTGCGGTTAACCTACAATGTAGTGCTAATATCACCCCCGGTTTTCACTTGGTGTTGAATATTTAATTGTGTGGATGGAGATTTAAAAAAGAATGAGACCGACCTCACAGGTTAAGAATTACTAAAAGAAGAAATAGGAAAGTAACTTGCAGTACAGAGAGAGTTAATATAAAAAAAAAAAAAAAAGGTTCAGGAAATTATCTCTCGTCTGTCCGCTGATATATTAATTTTCTACATTGCCCTTAACCTTCTTGTTTAAAGGCTATGTTTCATTGGTTTCTGCCGAGAAATTATTAGATTGAATTAATTTTCCACTTCACTTACAGAATAGTTTATTATTTTGAGATGAGATTCAGAATCAAATAAAAATTGTGGACTAAAATGAGATTTTGTTGAAAATAATTGGGTTAATTGAAGAGGCCAGTCATGGAACTTCTCATGTGCATATTGATGCGTTGTCATGATTCGCTTGGAAATAGGAAAGGTACGTTTGTTGGGATAATTACAGCAGCCCTCGATTTTACGATGCTTAACGAATAATTATTAGAGGATCTCTAATGTTATCATTATATTGAGATTTTTTTATATATAATAAAGAGGTCTGATCCAAATTTCATCTCCAATGCTCTCTTTATTATAATTTCTATTTTTAAAATTGAGATATAGAATGTTTTTGACTCTTCAATACTAAAAAGTCCAAATGATCTATTTATCTTATATTTCATTAATTAAAATCATTATTTTCTATATCACTCGACCTCTTCATCAATAATCTCTCCGAGTTTTATGGATTTTGTCAAAATAAAAAGTTAAAATAGAGAGTAGCATTGGAGAGGATATTGATCTTCAATTTATATAATTAATGATGCTATCTATTTAAATTAAAAATACTACCTAAAGCAGAGAGCATCATTGAAGATGCTCTTATACATGTATGATATTTATTTTATGAATTTATTTTTTAAGAAAGATAGACATATAAAAAGAGAAAATTATATCCAGATCGATAAAATATGATAAGAAGATTTTTATCTTAACTTAATTTTTTTAAAAAAATTTATCTTATTTTTCTTTCCTTTTCGTTTCTATATCTTTTTGTGAAGTAACTTACACTAGTTATTCTTTGAGTTTATAATTTTTTTTACAATAAAAGTATATCAACTCTTAATATTTTTCTATCAATTACATGAATTTTTATTTTTTATTAAGTATATTATTTTTTTTCAAAATTACAAATCAAATAATTTCATTTAATTTTTTTTATTGTTTCATTATTCGATGATGACATGTTTTTTATCCCAAACTATTAAATTATAGCTTTTTCCTTTCATTTTTGCAGGAAATTTCTCCTCCCAAATTATCTTGCTTATCCTTATATTAAAAAAAGGGTAAATAATAGCAAAATAATTTGGAAGAAAAAATTACTTAAAAATAAAAGGATAAAAACATAATTTAGTATTTGGAGTAAAAAAAAAACTGTTATCAAATAATGAAGAAATTGTCAGAAATTTGACAAAAAATATGGATTGATGATATTGAAAAAATTAATGTACTCAAAATCAAAGAATTAAAACTAATATAATTATAGTGCAATTATCGTTACATTTACTAGGTAAAGGTTAATATAGTAGGTACGAGTTTTAAAATGTTTCTATTAATTTTCTAATTGAGTGTGTTTAAAAATTTACTCTCTTCAACGAACGAGTATCCAATTATGACCAGGATAAAAGAAACTCAACGTGAAACACCAAATTTATTTTAGCCAGCGTGTAATTAATGGCCCATCTGTAACTATTGAAAAAGAAACTTTGATAGGGTCTGAATCATAACATGTAGCGAAGGTGCATTGTTAATAAATGGACCGCAGACCATTATACTTTAGAGAAGAAATCAAATCACCGCTTGGATTGAAGGGGGAAAAGAAGAAGAAGAAGGAAAGTTAGATAGAAATCGCAATCGCATTAAGTTCTCTCGTAAGTCACAGCAGCAATGCTTTATTACTGTTAGATACTCGTGCCTAGAAACATTCATGTTTCACACCTTCTCACCATCTAACTATTATTGAAAGTCCATGGATTTTCGGGTCAACTCCCGAGTTGGGCAATCTAATTACTTTGACAGGACTAGAGGAAAAGGTATAACAATTTTGGAGCAATACTACTAATATTTTGCGCGTTCAGTGGAAACCTGCTGGATAATTAGATTTGACTCCTAAAAGATCCAACAAAATACATAATTTACAGATTATTAATAAATGGCCCTATTCAATGGCGACACCAAACAAGTAATGCGGAAATTAGAAAATCACTTGTGCCGATTTTATTTTATAATGTTCAATTGACAAAATTTTATGGTATTAAAAAAATAACTACCATTTTATAGGAAAGCGATATAAACATTAAAAAAAAATTAAAATAATATACTTAAGTAAAAATATTTTTATTAATTTTTATTTATTTGGACGTGATATATATATATATTTAAAATAATTTTATGAAATAAGTATTGATAATTATTTTTTAATATTTTAAAAATTTTCACATTCAATATAATTTCATAGACACAAATTAATAATATATTATTTATTGTTATTATTATTTTCGAGGTATTTCTGGTCCAAAGATTCAGACTAATCGTTTATTGTTTAATAAAACATATAAGAAGAATATAATTACTTAAAGAATTTTCTATATACATAAAAACTCAAAATTAAAATCACTTGTTTAGTCGATTAGACCTTTTTCCATTCAAACAAATCTTCTTAAGTTAAAAGTATATTATTTTTTAAAATAATTATTTTGATGTATAAATATTGAATCGAGTTTTTATGTATTTTTTAGACATTAGGTTAAACGATAAACCAATTTAGTTTTCACATTATTATTTCGAGTTTGAATTAAACATTTCATTACAAAAAATATATTATTTTAATACGTAAGGAAGGTGATTGATCTAAAACTTAATCATAAAGATTTAGAGACAATTTAATATAATTGTAGCTATTACAATTAAGAAGTCTTTTGTAATTTATGTTGTTAAAATTTTTACATGCTATCTAAAATTACTCAAAAGCCAAAAAGTTTTATTTATTCTATAGATTTTGATTTTTTTAAAAAAATGACCTTACCGTCGAACGGACTCTCAGTTTCAATGCACCAAAATCTGGTTCCATGGCCTAACTATCACAACAAAAGAAGAATTAGTTCAGACTTTAACCATCGGTGAAAACGCTGTTTACCTGATTTTAAAGCCTTAAAACAACCTCTATCTGAAAATATTCAGTTAGAATGCAGTTTAGATAGTAGAAGTACAACATGAGTAACAACCAAAATTTCAGCTATCCCAACCACCCGAAACGTGATCTATGCAAGAGCAATAATCAGTTTAATGCCTGATTATTAACTTCTGAGTAAATTTGGTGAGCCAATAAAGAACAAGAAAACGTGGCGATGCTCTTACACTTACACGTGCATCTCGAATCACCCAAGTTTTGCAGAAGATTGACCAGTAACCACACTAACCAGGATTTGAAAACCCGACAACTCGACAAACAACACTTACCCCTCGTTATTTTTTACCCTGCCTGGAATTAATATTACAAGTCACCGACAACTTCCGGTTAAAATACTTGTCGACGGCCCTTAACTCCAATGCCCTTACGCATAGCAGACGTCCCTTGTATGGCATGTCTGTGAATATCAAAATTTAGGGATGGACATCTTTGTTTGTTTGTTATATATATATATATATATATATATATATATATATATGTGTGTGTGTGTGTGGACATTTTCGATCACTTTTTATATAATTAAAATTAAATTTATTGTTTTAAATTAATTTAATGTCAAAACATGTTTAGTTTTTGTTGATTATTAAGTTACCTCTTAAATTAAATTAGTTCAAATCTACTATCATTAAAAAATAATTATAATTAATTATTTATGAATAATGAAAATTAAATTTTGGTTTTATCCAAATCAAAACAATCTCCTAACTACTAAATCACATCTTTTGCTAGTACATTTTTGTTCAATTAATAGTGGATTTTTTCAGCCATTGAATCGGAAAAAAAATGAAAAAGAAAAAAGAAAGTTTAGTTAATCTGATTAGATCTTGCCACGTAGCATTTAAACCAACCACTTTGTAAATTAAGTTTAGTATTTATAATCTCGTGGGATATCCTCCCTTGTCAAAACCTATCTATTTGTAGATAGTTTTTTCTTTTTTGAAATGTTGATAATCAAGTTTATTTGAGATTAAAAAAAAAATAATAGTTTGAAGGATGTTTTTATATTATTGATGTTTCCATAAAAAAGAAATATATGTGAATATATCTCTAGCTTATTAAATGATAAAATATAAAGTATTAGGTGATAATGACTCTTGGACGATGCTAAAGAGCAAAGTTTTATTTTGAAAAGGAAATAAAAGTTAGATTTGGCGATTAAAAAAAAAAGCTGATTGTACTCAAACAAGACCAAAAAAATCTAGAGTATTGGAAGAAATTAAAAACAAGAATTCGTTTGAGATCACTGTGAATTGCAAGCCTTGAAAATTGTGGCTGAGTTTTTTTTTTTTTAATTGCATCCATTAATCCATGAATTATAATTATGATCCATTGGGCATATATATGGGTTTTGGTTACGACGAAGTAGATGATTATTAATAATTAGTTTAAAATGAATAAATTTTATAATTAGTTTCACTTTCTTTTATTTGTTTTCTTGTTCTTTCTATTTGTTACAGAGTAAATCACGATGATAATATGGATGATTAAGGAAATTAATTTGAATTTTAAAATTGACTTTGTAATTTATTTGATTCTCTATTAATAATTGACAAAGAAATTAACGTCTACGAATCTTTTTTCTTACATTTTAGCAAATAGCGACACCTCATGGGAGGTACATTTCTGTAGATATAAAAACCAGTAATTAATTAATACATTCTTTTGCTATATAAAAAAGAAAAACGAGAGAGAGAGAGAAAATGACAAAACGGAAAAGTGGTCAAAATAGAGCATCCCAATGTCAGAAATGCTTTGTTCCAACCGCAATCAACGGTCTCCGCCGAAAAAGAGATAACATCTTAATTTATTGGTGCTTTTTCACTTGTTTTATGAAAGTGAAATTTTTAATTCGAAAAAAGGAATAGTGTGAACAGTTAGAACTTAACACGTAGCATAATGTCAAAGAAACAGGCCTCCGGAATGACCGGTTGGCTCCGGTACTGTCACGGCCACGGTATCACTGTCCAGTTCCCACAGCCACAAGCATGTGGTAACCCGCTGTCTGTGGTCCCCAAGTAGTACCCTTCACCTATTAAAAATTGCCAAGCCTCCCCTGAGAGCTGACTTGCATAATTAAAAAAAAAAAATTATCATTTAAATAAATAATTTCGAATTTAAATTTATATATATATATATATATTTTTTTTTTTAAATAACTGCATTCATCTTATGTGTTCAATCCAAAAATAAAAAATTAATCTGAATTTTTAATCTTAAAATACTTAAAAAAAAAAAATTCCAAGCCGGTAACTCTCCAAAAAGCCGAGCACCCTAACTCGATCTTGCCGCATGGCACCTAGCCTGAAAAAGGTACTCATTGCTAGAGAATGGGTCCCATTAAGATGTGGGCTACAGTAGATCTTTGGGAATCAAAGTTTGGTCCTAGTGTTGGTTGTAAGGGCATGGATGGTACACCAATACAATACAAGTGAAATGTGAATACTGGCTACCATGGCCCAAGGTAATGTGTTTGTTAAAGATGGTCCTTTAATACTGTAAAAAATACTTGGGAATTGAAAGTATTCCTTGCTTTCTTGCACCAATATTCATGATTTATATTATTTTTAACGTATTTTTTTAATAAAAGTTTTTTAAATTTAAATTTTGCATGGATTTATATTATCTAGTGATGTTATTTTTTTAATTAGAACTGATAACAAGAATAATAAAATTCAAACGTGTAACTATTTGATTATTAAGATTCGATATCATATTAAAAAATTATTTTAATTCAAAAATTTCAATTGTTATATGACTCTAAAATATAATTTATATTATTTCTTAATAGATAGATCAATAGGGAAATAATTCATTTCATTCTTAAAAAAATGAATTTCTAATATGCGTTTTATAATTTTTATTCTTATAAAATAATTGAGTTTCTGATATATTTTTCTGTTAATTGTTTTCATTCAAATTAACTTAATCAATCAAGCACATAACGTAATATTATATTGAAAACAGTCATAAATTATATGAACATATTAATCAAATGCAAAACACGTTACACATAGAAAATTTTTTTAAAAAAAATCACACGTAACAAAACCTCTCTCCTTTTTCATGACCTTCCTTTCCTCTCCTCTCATTTTCTCTCTACGCGAAACCCTTTTTCTTCTTCATTGAGGTTGTCATTTTTTGATATAATATTAAATTATGTACAAGATTGACTATGTTAGTTTGGAAGGAAAAAATCAACAAAAATATAAATTGAAAACTCAATCATTTTAATAATAAAATTAACTTAATTAGAATATACTGAAATATTAAAAACTCACTCCATTGCATAAATACACACTATGCCATTTCCCCCACCCAAAATAATAAACAATGTTTTAGCTTTTTGAGGGTTCGAGTCTCTTTTGAATTTAGAGTTCTTCCCACTACAGCATCGAATTCAAAGTCTGAAACTTAGTAACGAGTCACTATTATATCTAGTCAATGAATCAAATGTTGAAATGAACAAAGCCATATATCTATCAGCTACCAATTTTTTATTTTTTATTTTTAGCCATGGTATTCTTAAGTTAACTTTTGTATATAGAAACTTAATTCATCTTTTAATGGCAGCTTGCAGCCAAGAATTTACCTAGCTTAGTTACTTGATAAGTTCAATTGTGTTGCCACTTGCCACCTGTGGTTTTTCTTCTAATCTCAAGATTTATTATTTCCCACTCCAAATATTTTTTACTGGTCAAATCGGCAAGACTCGTTAATTTGTGCAAGCTAACCAGCAAAACGCTATGTACATTTATGGAATATCAAGCCACTTTGGAGCAAAATTTGCTCTGGTAAACTGTTAAAATTAGTTACTATCAAGTTGCCACCTAGTGAAAATTTACATTTTGAAAAATGTTTGAGATTGATCATGACACAATGGAGCACCGACAGTAAAGAGGCGATAGTAGTACAACTCGTGCAACGAGGGGTTCCAGAAGCAAGGGGTTTGTATGGATTGAGGATTGGCACGTGTGACTTGGGGATATTTGTGCTCCATGTATTTTAGCTACGGTCACTTTCTTGAACCTTTAGAAGGGCCAACGACGAGCATGGCTTAAAAAAATCTTGAAAGAAGATGCTAATCCTTAGCGGTGAGATAAGCCCATCAAAATGTGAAACGAATACGGTAAAGATGTGCTACTGTGTTTTTGAAAGAATTTAATGCAATCGTGAAAGCTTACTTTAGCAAAGCAAAATACCAACGTGACATGCTGGTAAATTAGCAGCCAACGATTGCGCTCTAATCAGCAATCACATCAATATACGTTGACATGGCTAGAATTTTTTGAACCACTAGGATTTCATTCGCCAATTTGTAAAACTTGATCCCCATCATGATGTCAAAATCCAATTTAATTAGTACGCAGTTTCTTTCTAGAATCATTCAAAAACCTAAATAACTATATTATAATAAGAAAAACAAGTCAAATTCATCAAGAAGTTTTTTTTTTGGATACTTAGTTTACATGAAGCAATGTTATAATTGATCAACGGTTTTAGCATTGCGTTTTGATTGGTTACAAGGAAGAGATACAAACATGAAATTTCTAGAACGATATATAACAAGAATGCTAATTGAATTTCAGACCCGTTGGTTAGGGATTGGATTAATTAATGTAATATCGAGATAAAAAAAAAACACAACAGAAAAGATATACACATGCATCAATTTCACATGTTTATGGATACAGCATGAGCAACTTTCTGGAAGGGTACTACATGATGAATAGGCCATTCATAATTAGCAAGGTTGTTGGCACTTTCCATCCTGTATTTCCACTGCCACGTTCTTTGGGTTAAGGATCATAAATTCGCACGTCACTAGATGAAGGCGTTGGTCCTTTGAATAAAAGTTAAATTTAATGCTCATATAAAACCATTCTCAGTCTTGCACCTAAAAGCTTAAATTTTTTAATTGATATAGTTATTTAACATCACATCAAAGTTTTGTTAATTAAGTAAACATGGATTCAAACCTCATAATTTTTATTTTTAAAAATTAATTAAATATAAGATAGTATGAGCGTATATAAGTTTTAAAGTTAAAAAATTTTAATTTGAGAAATATATTAAAGAGTCATATAAAATCATTTTACAATTTCACTTAAAAATTTTAACTTTTAAAATAAAATAATTCTTTGACAAATGTTCTTTATTTGTTTTAATTTAAAAAATAAAACTCTCAATATTGAAAAGAAATACTAACAATACTCTCTTTTAACTTATTTTTTTCTTTTTTAAATATTAACGTAATGAAAGTTTATAAAAAAAATAAATATGGTTGATTTAGAATTCACATATCAATTTACTGTAATCTATTAATTTACACATATATACCAAAAGATATATTACAATTTTATTGATTAAAAAATTATTAAAAATTAAGATAAAACTGAAATGTTATCCCATAGTGGATATTTCCTGCTTTTGAGACATTTAGGCCTTACAAAATATAATCCGTATTGTGATGATAATTGTAACTTCAGCAACGAAACAAGCATAGGTTCCCTAGACATCTAATCCGCATGCACTTGGGGCCGAACACCTTTACCTATAACGCGAGTCACTGTAGCTTCAACACGTAGGGAGAAGGTATGGACATGCGTAACACTGGTAGAACTTTTGGGTCCACTTTCACACGTGTAAATAGAACCCTTAGCGGAGACACATGGCCCTATGTGGATCTCATTTGATCATGTCTTCTGTTGAGAATGATAGGAGGTGACAGCTTTTGTAGCAGAAGAGATAAGGGTCCCTTCTACGAACCTCCGAACAAGAAGCTTCCCTTTCAAGGACGTTATGGGGAATACAATTTCAAAGCGCAGATGTACTATTTGAATTTATTTTTTTCCCCATCCTCATAAGATATTTTTATAGGTAAAGTTATTAATTACTCTTTTTTTTTAATACAAATTTAAAAGTGCAGATAAGCTTTTCCTTTTTTAACGAAATTGAAAACTCTAGTGTTTACCATCTGAATATCTAACAAAATTTATTAACTTTTCTTTTACAAAGTAAGAAATCTGATTAAAAAATCATTAGGTAACTTTAAGAATAAAATTGATAAAAAAAATATTTTATACAGAAAGAAAATTTTTGAGTTGAAAACCAAGTACGTATTGGGTAGGGTTTGAAGTATCCTAACCTTAAAAATAATCATAATAATAACAATAATAAATAAATAAATAAAATCGTAAAAATGAGCATTTAGTGAAATGATAAATTTCTTCCTAAGCAAAACAGAAATGTTCGAATTAGATTTGAGTTTGAATCCGCCTATGCTATCTTTAAGAGGGAAAAAAATAAATCAAATCTGAATACAAAATGAACTACATTTCTACTAGTATGTCATCTCACCCAGCAATTTTTTTTTTTTTAAGAAAAGAATTTACCTATTCTCGGCTTTTTGCCCAGAGTGTAATGCATTAGCATCATATATCCAATTGCAGATTGATTTGCTTCAAGAAAATGACAAAATAATGTACTTCATTCAAAATCTCTGTGAGAAACATTCAGGTATCCTGTTGGATCAAAAAGTGTGGCTATCCACAAATATATTAAATCCACAGTAGACTAATTAGGATCATAGTTGGTGATGAACTTGGACATGTAAAACCAACATAGTAGTAGTGATGGGCGGAAATCAAGGTAAGAATATTCACATTAGAAACATGCAGGGCCACCTGGATTGAGCCAATCACGGAGAAAGACGGAAAGCGGATTAGCCATTTTTCTCCATGGAAGGAGGACTTTTAATTTCTTATTTAATGCAAGGGTCAGTTTGTCACCATGATCTACGGCAGGGGAACTTTTTTATCCTCCACTATAATACCTTTTTGGTTCTATCAGTGCATGCTTTGCCCGGAATGTTTGCTTTTGATAATTTTAATTTGATTAGTTGTCTTGTCATCCTTGATAAAATATAAGTAGCAAATTAATTTAAACACCAGTCAGTGAGCGCTGTGGATCACTTCTGGTGGATGGACGAAACAAATACTAGCGCTTTTCTATTTACCAGGCTATCAATCAAAAACATGAAAGTGTGAAAAGCTTCCAAGTTTTATATCAGCACGCAGCATCTCGTTACTCGTGAATTTTATAACGATGATGTCAATTGTACCGATGCTTCTTCTGTTTACTCATGATGACTTCTTAAGTTTTTCCTGTTCTATGAACGGATTAATCCGCTAGTCAAATGAAACAGATATACTTTTGAAAATATATTATGGAAAATGATTCGTGGCACGAAATTTGTGTATTGTAGGCTTGCAGCAATATTATACATTGTATATTGGAGAAGCGGAACTTTGACCTCGCATTAGCCACAAAAAAAGACATTGAACCTAAAATCTAAAAAAAATTAAACAGATACAACGACAATCATTTTAATTTTATTTAATTTTGAACGAATTCATTATATTTCTTTATTCGTTAGTAATTCGAGTGGAACCTTAGTATTCTTATCAAATAGCTACTTGGAGTAGTCAAATTCGTGTTTTTTTTTCAAACCAGTAATAATAATTAAAAAAAAAAGAACTACAATCTTGTCCTCGCACCGACGAACTTAGTAACACCGCTAATTATGATGCTTTACAAAATCATCACGTTCTAATTAACTAACTAGAATAAATTACTGAAAGTTAGGCACTTTATGAAATTTGACAACATGATTTAGACTCCGGTCTTTTGTTTCCTTGTTTAACATTTGAAATCCTTTTAACTCTGATGATCATTTACATAGCAGCAGTCACAATCATAACCATCATTATAGTTGCCATTACATATACATGTTCTCTAGGTAACTGACAATAAAATGTTCTCTCATTGGCTTGACCAGCTCTCCAGAGTACTCTGACCTGTGGAACCTACTATTTGTCCGACCAACTTCAAGACTAAAACAACAAAAATCTGTCTAACCCAACAAAAAGTGGATCCTAAAATCACTTGCAACACAAGTTCTTTTTGCAAGGAAAAACATATAAGAGTGTCAATCAGAATCACATTGCATATCATTTTGAGTCATTTTCACGGTGTCAAAAGCCAATGGCACAATTAAAATTTCCCATCATATGATCAGCTGTTTTCAATGATTAATAATTTACTAATTACTACGACAAAATGCCAGCTGACTGTTAACTTGTCTCTCGTAAGAATATTCACTTTTATCATTTTGGCTTCAATTTATGAAACTCAAAAGACAATTCTTATTCTTCTTTGTGTCGTTTTCATGGTCCTTTGTGGTCTCCCTATTTCGTGAGCATTCAATATTATGTACACTTAATGGACCACCAAACACATGCATGAAAAATTTTCAATCACCTCATGGGTTTGATTTAATACTTTAATTTTTACACGCATGCAATCTTTAATTAGGTCCAAAGATCCCCACTTTTTTTTATAGTTTATAAGTAAAAAAGATGTAGTGGCACTGGAGAAGAGAACCATCGCAAGAGACAAGGTGTCTCTCTATGTGGTCCTTCTGCCATTTTCTTTACACATTCCGTTTCTTTGCTAATTTAGATTTTTTTTTTTAATTTAGATGTTTAATTGTATAGTATCTTAATTTCTATGTTTCCATTTCAAGTTTGAATCAAAAGGGAGATTGCCGAAAAATCAAAATCTTTAAATATGCCACCAATATTGAATTGAACTGAATGATTTATTTAAAAAACTCAAAACATTATTGTATGCTGATATGGTACATTTAAACAATAAGATCCGCCTGCTGCCAGGCTATAAGTGCAATTTAGACAGCCACAAATGATGTAATGCCACATGTACCTTGAATCACACAAGTTGTATAACAGCTTGGGAAGAAAAGAGAGGGGAAAAAACAACCCTAAACTGTGAATAGCTGAAAATCTTACTAAGTTATTTTGCTCTAGAAAAAAAATAATAATAATAAAATCAAGTGAGAAATTTCGCTCAAAAGAGACTCGTTCAAGGACGGTCATGGAGCCCCACAATGAGCGGAGCGTCCCAAATTTCTTTCTTTTGGACTCTTCCACGCGGGATTCAAGTGCGTTTGTTGGAGACTGGGGACTAAAGCTAGATTCCAAAAGATTTTCATTAAAAAATAAGATATATGTTATATTGTACTACCTATCTTCAATCTTTTAAAGTTCTATAAGATAAAACAAAAGGTGAGTTCTAGATTGAAAATGAAATTTAACAGTCGACACTAAATTCCGAGCTTCTATAGGTCCCCACTAACCGTAATCCATTTTTGGGTCCAAATATTTTTCTGATCATGTGCATCTTGGCCGGATTACATGCAATTTTGTTCTTTTCCAACTGTCTATTAAATAATATCTGCAATAAAAATGCAATTTGATGATTTACACCAAAATCAATTTGATTCTTCACTGAAATTTAAATTGTGCCCATCATTCAGTTAATTGTGTCCTGAATGATCAATAGAATGGAACCCCTTCTTTTGAGTTGATGGGCTTTATCGATTATTTTATTTGAAGTAAAAAAATTGGCCCATTAGCTATTAACAGACATGAAGTGTCATTGGAATAAATATAAACTAAAAACTACCCATATTTGGAATCAGCATTTAAAAAAAAATTACTCTAAATTTACTCGATCAATATAAAATTATATTTTTAAGACCCTTTTTTTTTTATAAAAAGAAGTTGGTTTAACTGATATACAAATTAATTAAAAAATACTTCTTGGTTAGAAAAACTAATAAAACTACATTCAAAATAACTATTTTTTTTTTTAATTAAACGATTCGTCCAATTTGATTTCCTAGTAAAAGAATTTCACAACACAATAACATCTCAGTAACGAAGATTAAGCCTATTAAACAAATTGGTAACCAATTCACTTGATAGAACTTAACTTTGAAATTGATATTTCTCAAAGGCAGAACATAAAAGCACTCAATGCTCGAAATTGGTAAAATCGTCCAGTTATTTGCTCATGAAAGTAAATGCACTTGTATTTCACCCTATTATTTTCACTTAAACCCCTGAAAAAAATTTCTGTCAGTGGACTAGTTTAGCATCTATAATGATCTACCCAACGGTCCATACATGAATAAATTATAAATTACTCTTTTTACATTTTTCCGAAAGAAATTGAATAGTTTCTTGTTTCAATAACTATGAATTAATTTTATTTTTAAATTTTTAAATCTATCCGTAATTTAATTTTTTAATTTTAATAAATAATTAAATTAAAAATATAAAGAGAATTGAGAAAGCATTAACCATAATCAACACTTGATAAAGAACTAATTAATTAATTTTTTTAAAAAAGGAATTCACTCTTGCATTTAAAACTAGCGGGTCTAATTTATAATTAATTAATTAATTTACTCTTGGATGCATAAGAAAGTAATTCACGATTCTTTGACTTGCGGAAAAAAGAAAAAAACAAATCAATGTGAAATCACAATTCGTCGGCGGCTATAGATAAAAACAAGAGAATACGATAAGAATGTCCATCAGGTAAAAGCGGATCTCAGCCGTCTATTTGACTCCGTAACTCCCGTTGATTTGCGGGGCCCAGACCACGCTCTTTAATCGCAATCTGCGGTGATTTTCTGGCCCTATAAATCCGGGGAGATAGGACACGTAAGAGGAAGTATTAACTCGAGCTCATGTGAGTGCACGTGCCTATCTGACAAGTCTGCCATGGTGGAACCCACCACGTGCGGCTTCTCCTCAGACCTCACTTGGAATGCGATTGCACGTGCCTTGTCTAGGTGGTCTAATAAAGAATTGACACGTAGTTATTCATCTTGTTCCCCACCCCCGTTATGTAGGCTGTACACATTACAAATAGTAGAATTATTTTTTATTTTTGAAGAAAATAAAAAATAGAAGATTTTAATGTTTAGTTTGGATAAAAGACAAGCTAAAGGAACAGGAAAGAGGCCGTAGGGACACGAAACGGAAAAGGTGAGATGAGTTAAACATCTTCTCAGCTTTAATTTATTTGAAAATTAGTTTTTAAAAGTTTAATTTCGAGATTAATTTTTTTTCAATTTTATTAATTTCTTCTATGATTTTCAAATTTATCAATTTTTTTTAAAATTAAAATTTGATATTTTGAACTGAAATTATAAGTTAAAAAAATTAAAAGATGAACGAAATCTAAAAATATTTAAAATCTAAAAAAAATGAAACCTAAAATTAAAAATTATTTTTTTAAATAGAATAAAGTTTAAGAACGATTTTATCCATTTAGCCAACAGATTTCATGTGCCGAGTTCCATATTTATAGCCAAATTGTGTACATGCTTAGCATGGTCATGTCAAGCGAAAATACTGATGTCCATTGCTTTATGGTTGATGTTTGATGAAGAAAAGGTAAGTGCAAAAATCACTCTCACACACACACATATATATATTTTTTTATGAGATTTTTTATACTGTTTTAAAATAATTCATGATTAATTAAAAAAGAAAAATTATAGTAATTGATAAGATCAAAGAAGTTTTATAGTATAAGTTTTTAATTCAAACATTGAAATTATTTTAAAGACATGGTTCTATTAGTAAAAGTTTTATAGTATAAGTTTTTAATTCAAACATTGAAATTATTTTAAGGACATGGTTCTATTAGTGAAAGCAATTGGACTAGAATACATAATAACATGTGATTCCCTGGTGTTCCTTTTAAAAGTAGGGGTGCTTGCTAGGCACTCCTTAGCCTGGCAACGTCCTAATCATACCCAGCCCCTGGCCCAATCAATACCTAGATATTAGATGAACTTCGAATTATTCGTAAAGCTGTTTCAAAATATTTTGACTTTTACATCTTTTTGCAAACTCTTTTTTTATTTATATGGTATAGGTTTTTCATTAGTGTTAATTTTTATCATTATTAAATTTTATTTATTTATTTTTAATTTTGGCTTAATTTTTCATTCATCTTTTTACCATAAATAAAAAAAATACAAAAAAGATGGGGTTAATTTCGAATTAATTGATTAAGGGTTTTAACTGTAATTAAATTAAGAAATATTGTGGGCCAATTCATGAACGCCGGAAATTTTAAGGGAACAATTAAAAAGAATTAAAGGTTAATAAGTGGAAATTAAGACTAGAAGAACTAAAATAATCTGTTCGAGGAACCTGATTGAAAGGAAATTAAACAGGAAGGGATGAAATTGAAAACAATAAGCGAATAACAGGATGAACTTAAATGTTTAGCCACGGATGACCTGTTGTCCGTTGTCTCCATTTCAACCCCTTGCGTGTTGTTCATCGTCTCCCCTAAATTTCCCAGAAAATGGCAGTAAAAACTACCGGAAAGGCTTGGCTAGTTGGCTGACATCCTTATCCTGGCTAGATAAGACGCACTGCCTGCTTTCACAAGACAAGAGAACACAAGGGACAAAGGCCAGCTATGGTCCTTGCCCTTGATGCCCGCTGCACAAAAACGAAAGAGTCACAATAGCAACAAAAGGAGGAGCGGCCTAGTACACTCAGAGATGGAAGGCCATGATGAGATGAAAATGATCTTAGGATGGAGAATGGACATATGGTAGTATATAAACAGAAGTTGGTGCGAAGGGTTTGGGGGAGACAAAAAGAAGAAGAGGCCGAGAGGTGACTGGTCTGGTTCTGTAGTCTAGGGTTTTGTAGAAAAAACAACAGAAGGCAGCAAGGGAGAGGAAGAAGAGAAAGGAAAGAGAGTTTTTTTTTTTTAATTAAAAAAAAAAAAACAAACAAAAGAAGGAAGTAAGAGGTCCATAGACCACCACTGTCATCCATCATTGGAAAGGAAACCTTTTGTATTCAAACTACCAACCACCACTGCCATTCACCATCCTCTCCACGTCTGCAGAACATCAACACAGGGAAAAGAAAAGATCGAGAGCTTGTCTGGACCATCCTCTTGTAGCTTTGTTCAGTTGTGCCAGCGAAAGCCTCAAAAGTTAGAACTTTTCTTCCATGACTTCTTTCTTTTTCTCTATCTAGAACTCATCTTAGGATGAAATGGTTAGGTAGAGAAAAATTTTAGCTCAAATTTCATAGGTGTACGAGAGAGTAGGATGACCTTTCGAAGATAACCCCCATAGGAATAAAAAATAGGGGCACCTTTTATTGTTGTTAATGGAAGCCATGAAACGAAAGCTTCTTTTCGTTTCAAATCTAAAGCGCAGCTCATTTTTGTGTTTAAATTATAGTCCTCATACTTATAGGATCCTTGCAATTAGATTCCTAATGTGAATGGATTTGGAGTGAAATTGATGGAATTTTAATCCGAAGGTTAGTTTCGATTTTCATTCATTTTGACATGTCTGCTTTAACTATTTTGATATGAAATTTTTAGCATTTGTACATATGTTTGTCCTCAGCATGAGTTTTAATTTTTGAATCCTAAGAGTTCATTTACTATTTATTTTCTATTTATTTATTATTCTATCATTTATTTTAATTATTAGTGTGGTTTCTTTTGGAATTTAATTATTTAGTCCAATATCTAATTTTATTTTAATCTCATTTTTTAGGGTTCATAGGTATGCTTGTCCTTAGTTGGTGTTTTAAATTTTATAATTTTAGAAGTCTATTTGCTATTTATTTATAATTTATTTACACTTTAGTTGTTATTTTAATTATTAGCGTGAGTAGTTTTAGAATTTAATTTTTATGTCCAGTTTCCCATTTTTATTTTAATTTGAAAATTTTAAGGTTTGTTTATATGCTTAGCTTGTGGTTTTTAGCTTGTGGTTTACTTTTCACAATTTTAAGAGTCCATTTGCTATTTATTTGCAATTTACTTATTATTGTGCTATTATGTTCATCATTAGGGAGGTTTGTTTTGAAATTTAATTATTTGGTCCATTTTCTAATTTTATTTTAATCTGAAATTTTCAAGGGACATATATATATATATATAATTCAATGTACTTATCAATTATTTAAGTTTATTTAGCTAGATGTGAGATCATCAAGTTTCCTAGGTTTTCAAGACTGATGATGATCTCACATCGAATTTAATTTCTTATTAGAAAAGAATACGTCTTTTTAGGATGATTAGAAAATTTAAGTCGACCTATCGAGTATTCGATTCAATAAA